TCCTCATGTTTCCCAAATATTCTACTATCCCTGCTTCCTGAGAGTCCCCAACAATGGAAGTAAACACAGGCATTTGTTCCCATGAAGTACCATCTGCCCTTCAAGTTAATACAGCATCCTTCAGACTAGCACAGCACTGTTGAACGAAGCTGCCAGCATTTACTTCCTTTGCAGACTGACAACTCATGCTGTAATACTACATCTTAGTATCTACTCCGTGTTCTCTTTATCCCAAGGCCTTTAGGGTAAGAAGTATGGCTTTCCATTGATGAATCTCCCACCAATTCATGCTTCATAGTCTGGTGCAGGCTATGGACATCTGTTATTGCTAGCCCAAAGGTTCTGAGTGGCCTCCTGGTGCTACACAATGCCACTCCCCTCTCCATGCTGCTTATGCTGCAGTCACTGTGACCCCTTGAAATCCAATGAGGTCCACTCCCTTATCTACTTACAACTCTTAGAAAAAGTCCCAATTCTTAATATAAAATACAAAGCCCCTTTCTAGCTTGGATCTAGTCCATTTCCCCATCTTCCCATGTCTCCCCCCTTTTGATCTATGCCCACCAGATCACAGTATTCCTTCAGTTCTTCTGATAGTCCATAATCTATGTTACTTTCCAGCTCAAAATTCTCCCACTCCTCCTCCAGGAACACATTCCCCCTGCCCTGCATCGCCTGAGCTGGAGAAGCAGGCGCACACTGATAATGACCATTATCCACATAGCCTGTGTGCAGCTCTGTATTTGCACAGCACAGGACTGAGTTTTGGAGAAGAAAGCTGCCTCAGAACATCTTGGAAGTACTGCCCAGTACAGTTGGAGCTCCTTAGTGAAAAGAATCCTAGCAGCTGCTCTCTTCTCTCTCTCTCTCTAGGATGAAGGACCATAGATCTCTCCACTTATCTTCATCTAGTGCCAGACAGTCAAACTATATAAAAAGAGGGTATAGACAGGGCCTTTGTCAAGGTTAAAGGGGAAGTATAAAGTTAAGGATCAGAGCAGTGCTTCTAGATTCAGAATGGATATGAATATCTAGAATAATTAGTACCCAACATTTTGGGGACAAGTGGGCTGGGCTATTTTTGACCTCAGCTCTAGGGGATGTATCTTAAGAAGCCCATGTGGGCTGGGTAGTGGTAGTGCATGCCTTTCATTCTAGCAACTGGGACGCAAAGGTAGGCAGATGTCTATGAGTTTGAGGCCACCCTGGTCTACAGAGCAAGTTCCACGACAGCCAGGGCCACACAGAGAAACCCTGTCTTTCAAAGAAAAGAAAAAAGAAAGAGAAGAAGGAGAAGAAGAAGCAACAGCTCATGTGGGATTGACAGAGGCTGATTTCAAGTACTCCAACATCTAGGACCCCATTCTCAGCAAGATGTATGGTGGCTTTAGAGCCAATTGAGCAAGGACACCAGCAGACTGAGTCCTTTTGCTTGCTTGTGTCAGAAGACAGCAGTGGCAGCTGCTCCTTCAAATCCTCTGGCCCTAGTTACAGACAGTATTTTATAGCCCTTCCTAAACAACTCTGGCAAAGATAGTGAACTGGCAGTTTGAGAAAGCATCTTAATGGCTTATTCAAGACCACACAATGAATAATAGGTAGAGACTTGGGACAGAAAAAGTGATTCAGTAAAAAACAGTGGCACATTGTGCCATCAAATACAAGGGGAAAAATCAGGGGGTGGGGCAAGATGGGAAAACCCCCATGAGCTCATTGGCCTGCAACAACCAAGGACTGCTCTCTGCAATGCTATGATAGTGTATGCCCAGTTGTCTGCATAAAGACTCAATGGGGAAACAAATGGTCTTTGGTTTAAAGAATATGCCACAGACCGGGGAAATATAACTAGACTTTATTGTTTTCGTGCCTTGACAACATCCTAGAGAGCAGAGCTGGGCTCTGAACTGACTGAGATCTTCCATAAATGGTCTAAATGCAGGCTACACAACATCCAAATCTCCCCAGAGAAATTCCTATTATGTACAAGGAATGGGGAATGCAGCAAGTCCCTTGACTGGGCAGAACACATTCTCTGTTCAGTGCAACTTTGTATTGCCTGGCTTCAGTGCCAGGTGTGTGTTCTCAGTAGACCAAGTCCCAAGTTACAGAGCTTCTAAGTATATTGAAAACTAAGCTAGTCCAGGGAAGGCAGGCATGATATTAATAAGGGAATCATTTCTATAAAGGCTCCAGTTAAAAGTCAGTATTATGGTACTCGGAATTGCTGTAGCAAAACAGCTACTTTTTTTTTTTTTTAATTAGCTTCTACTGACACACATGCTAAAATCAAGAAGAGTTGGGAATTGGCAATATGGCTCAGGGCATAATGAGTTTGGTCCCCAGAACCCACATGGTGTCAGGAAAGAACAAACTCCCAAAAATTAACAACTGATCCCTACATGCATGCCATGACACATGCACATACATGGATACACATATGCCACCCATCCATACATCATCAATACATTCATCCATCCATAACCAAGAACCGGCTAAGATGTAGCACCAGTGACTGTCACTCTGTGGAATTGATAGTGTCAGGGAACCTCCAAACAGAAAAATAAGTGTATTATAAAATTAGCTGCAGTGTGTGTGTGCTTTTTACTGTGACTCAGCTCAAAACTCATCTGTCCAGAGATCTCCCCCACAAAATAAACTTAAAATTCTGCACAAGGCTGGAGTATTGCTCAGGAGTTGACAAAGTGCTTAGTCAGCATGTCCACAATACTCCACACATACAGGTGTGCTCCTTGACTTACACTGGGGTAGCACTGAGACATGCCCAATGTATGTTGAAAGTGCAGATGAAACACCTAGCTTGGATCCCAGCTTAGTGTCACCTGCCTCAGATAAGCTCAAGTACTTACCTAACCCTACTGCTGAGTAAAGCCATCAGCTTACAACTAAGCCATCATTTTACAACTAAGTGTTAAATTCCTCCTGTCAAGTGACAGGTGGGTGTTTTGTCTACTGGTAGACTGTGAAACCACAAAACACAATATCCAAAATAATCTGGTGACCCAGCAGAGAGAGATCTTTTGTCAGCATCAGGGGGAGAGCATCAGACTGCACACAGCCAGCCCAAATTGGTACCACTTTTGCACTATCACGAACTGGAAGATTCTTAAGTTACTTCGGGCTTGGGATCATCTCTTCATACCTGTTCATTCGTCAGTGACTTCTAGTTATTCTTTAACACATTAACTTTGCTAGCTATCAAATTAGAGTTTGTGGGTGGGCCTCTCCCTCTGTCTTGTTTGCATGCATACTCCCAAGAGAGCAAATGTTTCATTACTCTACACTCGTACAGGGTTGGCACAGACTAAGCCCCTCTGTGACATTTGACTGCCTCCCTTTTTAACTGCCAGAGGACACAGTTCAGCTATCTGCAAGCCCAGACAAACCCACATTCATATAAAAATGTCAAAGATGACACATTGGAATGTAAAATCCTTTTAAAATTTTATTTACAGGTGGATTAGTAAGTAAGTCAATATCTAAAAGCAAAATAATGCTATCAAACGCTGTGCCATTCGAGTGTGGCCAGTGACATCACTTGGAAACGTGTTAAAATGCAAAATCTGCCTCCCAGCAACCAAGTTGAATCAGACTGTCTAAGGATAGAGCCGAAGCTCCTATGTTTTAGTTAAGTTTTAAAATGTGTTTTCTTTTAAACCACCTGTGTGTGTCTGTATGAGAGTATGTGCACATGGGCAGGTGTCAACAGAGATCAGATGAGGGCATCAGATCTCCCTGGAGATGGAGTAACAGGTAGTTGTGAGCTCCCCAAAGTGGGTGCTAGGAACTGACCTGTAGTCCTTTTCGAGATTAGCAGACACTTATTAATCACCCAGCTGTCTCTCCGGCCTTGAATTGGGTTCTCCCACAATTCTTTTTTTTTTTCTTCTAAAGGTTTATTTATTGTGTACACAGTATTCTATCTGCACGTATGCTTACAGGCCAGAAGACGGTGCCAGATCTCATTACAGTTGGCTTTGAGCCACCATGTGGGTGCTGGGAATTGAACTTAGGACCTCTGGAAGAGCAATCAGTGCTCTTAACCTCTGAGCTACAATTCTTACATCTCTTCAAGTTTTAAGAACTGCCTCTGTGGTTTGGGCAAGTCCTCCTAAGGGCTGTGTGTTAAAGACTTGTTCCCCAGATATGTGATTGTGGTAGGGAATACAAAATGGTTGGGAGGCCTTGAAGATGATCGAAGACCTTCGGTGGAAGCAGGTCATGGGACCCTAGCCCCGCCCTCTCTCCTGCTTCCCTCTTGCTGAGATGTGCAGCCTCATCACAGGCCCAGAGCAACAGGGCCAACCAACCACAGACAGCAACCTCCAAAACGAAAGACACCATTAACTTTTTCTGCCACAGTGATAGGAAGCTAACCAACACGACTGCTAATTGAAAAACAAGTATTAGACTACAGTGAACCACGCTACTCATATAACTGAGTAACCCTTACACGGAAATAAAAATGACATAGAGATTAGGGCTTTGCCAGGGTCAACGGGCACATTCTTGCTGCCGTATAATTAAAAGGCTGGGCATGGTGGTACACACTCATAATCCCAGTGCTCAAGAGACTAGAGCAGGAGGCTTACTGTGAGTGCAAGACTGGGCTGCATAGTGAGTGTCAGAGCAGCTAGTATTACATAGCAAGACCCTGTATTCAAAATCAAACAATTCCCCCCAAAATGAACAAACAAACATCATAAAAGTGCCAGGGAAATGGAGTAGGAAGAATTATACGATTAACCAAGTGGCCAGAATAGTGAATCACCAGAAAGCAGCCTAGAACAGGCCTGCACCTGCCATCACACTCTCTGCTCTGTTCCACCAAGCCTTCAGGCTCCTTCAATGCTCACTGCCCACAGCCCCCCATTTCCTTCCCGAGGGCAATGCCCAATGAGACTCTAAGAATTATTATAACAGATGACTGACAGAGGCAGTTCAAAAATGTGGCAGTGAGGGAAGCAAGTAGCAGGGCCTACCATGATTGAGGTGTCTGATGCAGTCATTGAGAAGAGCGCTGAACTTCTGCTGCTCAGCGGCCTCCTGGAAACAGAAGTAGGCGTGCCTGAGGTAAGGCTGCCACAGGTACACGGGGAATGCCTTGGGCAGGACCACGAAGGGCTGAGAGTTCTTCTCACTGGAAGCTAGAGAAATAATGGAAGCACAAGTAGTTTTAAAGCATGAGTATGTATTTCAGTCTATAAAAGTATCGGGGCAGCCACAGGACAACAAGGTAGTAGGGAAGTGAGGGTTCATCTCCTCTCCATCCTACTGCCCCCCCCCCCAGTCTGTCTTTCCCACAGGTCCACTCCTTAGCAGAGACACACAGACAACCAACACATATTCCTCAGCTCCCTACTACTGAAAACATCTCCAAAGACCCCCACGCAGAGCTCCCTTCTCAGGCACCTCGAGGGCTCACCTGCTCCTCCAGGCTCGGGTTCCCCCACATTTCTTCCTCCCCTTGGCAAAGCTGAGCAACACTTCTTGACTGCACAGTCTATTGCTATTCTCACTTCAGTCTTCCTTCTGCCACACCACCTCCTGAACCCAATGGCTGGAGTCACTAATATCACCCTGGCTGCCAGCCCATGGCTTATCTGCTGACTGCCCTTTTACTCTGGTCTGTAACATGTGTTGCTGACAGCAACCCATTCTTTGGACAACATTCCCTCCCTGGTTGAGTGTGAATCTCTCTTGGTTCTCATCATGTCTTTTCCAAAAAGTGTTATGCTTTGCACCTATGGCTTGCTTTGCCACCTCCCTATCTTCCTGTCAAGTGTTGTCCAGTTGCATGCTTGGTTCCCCTCTACTTTTGGTCTTTACCCCTCCAAAGGGTATCTATCCATTTCACAGCTTAAAGTTATTCCCAGAATCCTTATCGCCTTCCTTCTTTTCCATCATGTTCTTTTAGAAAAAAAAAAGCATTCCACCCTTTACAAGGCGGTTCAAAAGTCACCTTCTCTGGGAAACCTTCACTGGCACCGGCCTCCAAGACAGAACTATGTGATCTCTAATGCTCTCCAAAAAAATGTCAGTGGCCAGTTTCCATGACTGGCACCCACTGGGGAGGAAAAAAGGGTAGATGAGCCTTGCTTCTTGATTCTTGGGAGAGCCCCTCTCTGAACAGTGGCTCCTAGAGGTTGGAGGCCACTTCTGACGTATCCTTGCAGCCTCAGCCCATAGCAGAGTTGTAGATAGATACTAGGAGACATTCAGTTTCATCATGTTGAATGAACAGATATGCTCTGTTGATCTCAAAAATTTTAGAAGCCCTGAAAACACAAGCCCATGGGGCTACGGGTCTAGCTCAAAGGTTGAGTAGTTGCCCAATATCTGGGTTCAATTCTATCAACACACAAGCGCACACACACACACACACACACACACACACACACACACACACACACACACACACTCACTCAGTTACTCAAAATCAATTCTGAGAAACTCATGTGAAACCATGCCTCTTTTCAGAAACCCTACCCAGCCTAATCCTTGCATCCCTATCACGAGACATCAATCACACTCAGTTAAAAGAGCTACCTTCTTTCCAAAGCCATAGGGGAGCACCCAAAGCTACAGTGTGCTCTGTGAGGCAAAGTGGGCTTCTAGGAGGCTGGAGCCTGCTGGACACGCCCAGAAATGGAAGCTTTCAGAACAGAGTCAGCTACTGGAAAATTAATAACCCAAGACAAGAATAGATTTGGTTAGGAACCTGGTTCCACTGTCCTGAAATCTGAAGGCAAGAGACAGAACGGCCGAGAAACACAAGCTGAGCCTTCCAGTGCCAGGCACAACACCCAGAACATAAGAAGGAATCAATGCATGTACACACAATCAAATGAGCAGTTACACACGGAAGAGACTCCGCCTTCCGTGCAGTTGCAGCTTTGCCTTTTAACTGAGCATGAGGCGTTGGAGAATGCAAACTTCACATACATTTCCAGCCTCCCTTGTAGTATGGTAACCCACTGCTCCTAAGTTCTGGCCAATGGGAAATAACCTAAACTCCCATATCAAACCTCAGGCGGGCATCCCTTAAGAAAGCAACTGCTTCCTCCTCTTCCTCCCCTTTCTCCCTCATGCTACATGGAAGGAACCATAGCTCCAGTGTTCATGTTGCTGTTAGAATCACGGGTGCTAATAAGGGCCCAAACTTAAAAGAGGAGAAAGCCAGGGGAGCCCAAGCGACAAATATGTGTACCTGCTGCACTAACCCCGGAGTAGCACTCAAATACTCAGAGGAAGATAATAAAACTTTGCATATTTAACTTGAACGCCATTGTGTGCAGAACCCAGATTCTAGCTAATGAAATGCCAAATGATTGACTCGCTGTAGGAAAGCATTGGGACACTTCTGACAGATCACACTGGCAGAGCATTCCACAGAGAACATACATTTATCCATGCTTCCAGTGCCTCTCCTCAAGCAACATTAGTGCCTCCCTGTTAAGGCATATTTACATTTTTTTTCGTTCAGGTAGAAGTAACATCATGGGTAGATCTGATTAACATGGCTTATGAAGCAAGTCTTCATGACCTTACAAGATGTCACGATTTCATACAAACGACAGAAAGTAACACTGACTGACTCTATATTCAAAAGCTTCAGGAATCCCTTTAAAATCCACTGCTATTAACCTCTAGTTACTTCTCACTAAACCTTCCATAACAGTTTTCTAGACACCATCCATCTACATTTTTTTTTCCTGAGTTGAGTTACAAGAGTATCACAAATGATCTACTGTGGAATATTCTATTTTTAAAATTCAGCAGGCCACACCATACAATAAAAATAGTCATGGAAATGCTAGGCACGAAGCCCTGGGCTATCTAAGCATGAATCACACGAACTTTATGCTTTTCATTCCTTCTGATATGATTTCATCAATAAATACACGAGTGTATTGTTCTGACAGATTACACTGGAAAGTTCTGGAGATATTCTCAAGAATCAACATGCTGGTATTCTCATTTTTAGCTGTAGGTACACAGTCAACATGGCAGATAGGTAGATGTTGGAAGAAAATTCATATATTTTCTAGGTAGTGAGCACATAGAGCATTGCTTCAGCCTGAATTATTTAGTAATAATTTGATAATCTAGTTTTACGGTCCATGTACTATCCATAATTGTATTATTAAAAACACCACACTAAGCAATCTACACCAGAATAACAACTGATGGAATGATTATATAGTTCTCTATAAATTCTAATGAAACGATGCCCATTAATAAGACCCAGGGCTCTCTTCAAGAAAGCAAGTAATGAATGTGTGGTGTGATTTACACAAAGGCAGATGGAGTTATTATATTATGCACAGTTCATGAATTTCTATGAAATGCCCTATTTAGCCTATATAGTATCCATCACTTTCTCTCCATAAAAATAAATGAAATGAATGAGAATCAAAGAATTTTAAAGCTGGAAAGATACTTCCAAATTTTTCAAGTTCAGGGCTCCATTTTAAGGCAGAAGAAACAGAAGCCAGAGGTACCCAGGGCCTGTTGCCCTGAAAACATTGGCTAAGCAGCACAGTGGGAGCCACATCCGAAGTCATGCCCCTGGTTCTCCAGTCAATGCATTGTTATTTATAGACAGGACAACAAAGGCAGTGCTTTCTTTACTCTGTAGCTATGAGTTCCTGTGGCGTTTATCTAAAATGTGTGTAGTTTTTTGCCAATTTAGAATATTTTATTGCATATGACTGTAAAATGAGATGATAATCCCTAGCAGGTCAAGACTTGTTTACCAAAAAAATTAAATTGTGCATGTCTCATAGGATGCCTAACTTGTGTGTTTTCTGCTGTCTTGACTGTTGTTATCAAATTCTACAGTGTATCTGTAAAGCTCTAAGATACCTGACCAAGAACACACTTTCCAATGCCACAAACACAGAAACTGCCTATGTGACTCTGTAGCTGTGAAGCAATATAAATGGTGTGATGTCGACCTAGATTAAACAAACTCCATTTTCTAGCTGAATATGGAGTGTCTGGAATCAGCACAGGGTTCCTCCACCTTGGCATTACTGGTACCTTAGGCCACTCATCTGTCTCTTCAGGGTTGCCCTGTGCATTGTGGGTTGTTTAACAGCATGGCTGGTCTAAATTCTATATCACTCACCCACCAAGTCTCCAACACTGCCAAAGGTCCCTGGAAGGGGACTATTCTCCCTCACTGAGGACCACTGGTCTAGCTACACGAATTAAGCTCAGGGAAAGACAAAACTACTCACCAATGGGGTCTGGGAAATGCTTATCAGACAAGATATTATATTCCTCTTCTGAAGTTAAAACCTTGCCTCCAGCTGGAAGAATTCGGCTTTTAGGAACAGCTCCTTTCTGATAGGCCTAAAAAGAAAAGACATAAGTGAATGATCTCCCTCCCCAATATATAAATTTGAAAAATTGTCAGAAATATTTTTTAAAACTCAAACAAGTCCAGGCACACGTATCCAGTGACAGACATCTCCATACTATGTCATTTACTTATATTTTTTTGGTTTGCATTCATGCTGCTTACAAGGTGGTATTGTTTTACTTCTGTTTGATGGTCACTCCCACATTGGTAAACCAGAGTCCCTAATCTCAAGGAGACTCTCAGGAGGTGTGTTCTTAAATGGTAAAACAGAATATCAGTAACATCTATGTCTATATCATGTTCTCCACTTCAGACATTGATGTCTCTGACTCATTTTGATAACCACAAGGTTCGAAATTTCTCTCTCAATCTCCCCTCCCCCCCAAACACACACACACTGCACAAAATACTCTGCTGACGTGGGCCACATAAGATGCTGAGCAACACTAACTACACGTAACTACAATGATGGTTACCATGGAGTTTCACCAAAAACACAAAGATGTTGCCATAATAAGTGTGCAGTCATTTGTCTTCAGATGTGGCTGGAATTTTTGCAGTAAAGTCATTGAGATGGAAGTGCAGTTTTATGTCATCAGAAGACATTCTGGATGGCAGATAAGACATTCTGCTGCCTGAGAAACCCAAATGAGATCCAGTGCCCTGCTAAGTGCCTGTGCCGACACACCCCAGGGACAAACAGATGAGATGAAAGGCAAGTGTGTGCCTCTGATGGGCAGGCTGGTTGTCAAGACAAATTATTGAAAGTAGTAACTTGGGGGCTAGTTGAGAATTGAAACCAAGAAGCTGTGGGACCCAAAATCTAAAATGTGCCCTTGGGAATAACTACAATAACATTGATCTGGGCAACAAACCCAAAATAACAATAACACATTCTCCATCTGTAAGACGGTGCCTGGAAAGCCCCAAACAAAACAAATACTCGGAGTGCTACGAAACTGGGAAGAACCACTAATCAGCTACTTAAACACACTGGGGACCCAGAGCAAAGCAGAAGAATCTATGTATGATTTTGAGATAGTGTGAAGCTATTGATTCAAACAGGACTCAACTGAGAATTTTATTTGGGATTATAATAAGCTTCTAAACATACTGTATCATTTGATCCTCATGACAGGACTATAAATTAGATATTATCCCCATTTTACAAGTGAGAAAACTAAAACACACAGAGGTCCAATAACATGCAATGACCCAGTGGTGAGTGACAGATTCCAGACTCATCCTTGTATCTATCAAGTCCCCAGCAAGTATAAGGGAAATTGGGATGAATTATGAAATGAGAACTCCTTGATATTCCCATGGCCATCACCAAATTGGACTCCCAACAAAATAACAAGACATTAACTATTTGTTAATGCCTATCTCTTCAAAATGATGTTTATTTACTTTATGTACATTGGTGTTTTATCTGAATGTGAGGGTGTCAGATCCCTTGGAACTAGAGTTACAGACAATTGTGAGCTGTCATGTGGGTGCTGGGAATTGAACCTGGGTCCTCTGTAAGAACAATTGGTGCTCCTAACCACTGAGCCATCTCTCTAGCTAATGTCTAACTCTTACATGTGGTCTTAAAAAATACTTCTATAAACTAACAAACAGGACCTCTTTATAATGTCCAACAATGATGACAAACTACATGGACTTTTCATTTAAATACCCAGGTAGTTTTTAGAACTATTTAATCATTATCAAATTTATTCATCATCACTTTATCACCTAAACAAATTATTTGAAAATAATGATCAAAGAAAAGAAAGAATAAATTTTAAATTGAGGGATAACATCTCCAAATGTGAAAAAAGAAATAAAATCACCAAAATTGAATTCACAAGAAATTTAATTTACTGTTAAATGTGGATGAAAAACTCAATAAATCTGGGCTGGGAAGATGGCTCAGGGTTAAAAGCACTGGCTGCTCTTCCAGAGGACCAGGGTTCAATTCCCAGTACCCACATGGCAGCTCACTACTGTCTGCAATTCCAGTTTCAGAAGACCAAACACCCTCACACAAAGATACATGCATACAAGCAAAACACCAATGCACATAAAATAATTATTTGAAATAAGAAAAACTCAATAAATTTAATAACATGCTCTCTCAATTAGTTAGTAGCAATCATATCAACAATTTCTCTATTCAGGACTAAACCATGGGCTATCCATATGCTCAGTGTTTCAGTGTATTCGTGTATTTCTTTCTAAGGGGTTATAATTGCCATTCTGAGAAAAGAAAACTGAGGCTACAGGAGATACATAACTTAGCTAAAGGCATGTATCTGGTAACTGTCAAAGACATAATTCAAAGCCCATAATGTTAACTACCCATTGAGATACTGTACCTCTCATCAGCCTTCTAACAGGACAGTGTAGGATGGAAGCCTCTGACAATTTGTAGTGTGTTAACAATTGGGGCTGTGGATTGAATGCAATCCTAATATTAGTGAGCATTTCAAATGGTACTTGAGACTGACTCTGGATAAGAAATTAATATAATACGAGGTTTCAAAGGATCTGCTGAGATCATTGGAGCTCTCTCCTCAGTTCAGATGAGGCTCAGAGACAGGTAAGTCTCTTGTCCACATTTTACTTCTAGTATGTGTGACACAACTTGACCTAAATTTTAGATTTCCAAATTCACTGCTCAGTGTCCTTTCTACTTTAGCTGCACATAGCCTCTCTAGGAGGGAAGAAAGCAGAAACATTGAAATCTGAAGTCCTCCATGTATAGATGCTTTTCACACCTAATCTCATTTTTCCCCTTTGTACAGATGAGACAAATGATGAGGAAAAGGTCTAACTGAAAAATCCCTAACTCTAAATGGAATGAAGTATCCAGAGTGCTCTATGTTTGTAGGAACCCTGCAAATGCAGGTGCTATCTTACCAAATAACTAACTAAGCTATATATCACATGTGATGCTTAAAGTGGAATAATACAGAGACAGAGCAGAGGGAGTAGTGACAAGCCAGTGAGAAGAACCTTGAGGTTGAATGAATGATCCCCGAAAAGCCTCCTACACAAAACACAGGTCACTTAGCACAACCTGTTCCCACACTCATCTGCCATCACTTTTCCCAAGTCCATCTTTTCCCTAGACAGCAAGCATGTGTCTGATCAAGTGCTATTCATCCAGATCCACATAAGACATTTGGCATACAGTGGACAATCAACAAATATCTATTAATTGAGGTGAGTACCCAATACATCAATTGCCAAGGCCAGGGCATGCCCATTAACACAGCCAAAGTTTTAAGAATATTGCAAGAACTAGGCATATCTTACCTCTTTGTTCTCATAGCTTTCCACAGCAAAATCATTTTTAACCACAACATATCTGTCCTTCCATTTCCTGATGTCTTCAGCAAACTGGGAGAGCTCAGCTTCATACAAAACAGTTCCTGGTTCCAAGGGGGGCTTAAAAGAAGATAAATATGATTGTCACAAGAGATAATATACCTTGCTAACATTACATTATTTGTGATATTCAGGGAATAATTTAGAAAATTATGGTGGGGAAATTATTGCTTTCTTTTTGATACCATAAGTTCCCCTTCATATTCCTTCAAAGAAAACGCAGACACTTGTTACATGGTAGTTTTCTGACTTTTATTTCCCCCTTGTATGGATTAGGAAGATAGCATTTGGTAGAAGGACTATCCCTTTGCATGCATGTGGCACTAAATAAATGCTTGATAAACCATAGGCAAGAATGAGTGAGGCAGTTATATGAGTTCACATACAGCTGTCTACTGTAATTTGCCGACATGCCTCAAGGTTAGTTCTAGAATCAGTCAGCTGTTTTCCTATTGTCCTGGTTTCACTTCTGTTATGATAAAAAATATATATACCTTGACTTTCTAAAGCAAATTTAATAATAAAGATGTTGTTTAGCCTACAATTCCAGGCTACAGTCCATCACTTCAGGGAATTCAAGGTGGTAACTGAAGCAGCTAGTCACATCAAATCCAGTCAAGAGCAAAGAGAATAAGCAATGGACTCTTGCTTGCTTTCTTGCTTGCTTTCCCCTCTCTTGCATAGCTTAATGGTGCTTCCTACAGTGGGAGGCTGATTCTTCCCATGTCAATCAACAACTAAGACAATCTTCAAGAGGCATAATGTGGTGGTTTGAATGAGAATGACCCCCATAGGCTCATATGTTCAAATACTTGGTCCCAGATTGGTGGAACTGCTTGGGAAGGATTAGGAGGTGTGGCCTTGTTGGAGGAAGTGTGTGGCTTTGAAGTGTGTTGGAGGGGGAAGAGCTTTGAGCTTTCAAAAGGCTTACACCATTCCTAGTCTCTATCTTTCTCTGCCTGTGTCTGTATCTCAAGATGTGAGCTCTCAGCTACAGCTCTAATGCCAGGCCTACCTGACTGCTGCCATGTGGCCTGCCACGATGGTCATGGACTCTAGCCCTCTGGAACTGTGAGCCCCAAACAAACTCTCTTCTCTAAGTTGCCTTGACCATGGTGTATTATTACAACAAGAGGAAAGTACCTAAGACACATGTCCACAGGCCAATTTGATGCAGACAATTCCTTATTAGTTGTCACTCCCTAGTGATTCTAAGCTGTTCAAATTGATAGTTCTGCCAGGTATGGTGGCCCATGCCTTTAATCCCAGCACTTGGAAGGAAGAGGCAGGTGGATCTCTATGTGTTCCAGGCTAGCCAGGGCTACATAGAGAGACCCTGCCCCAAACAAATAGTAATTGACAGTTCAAAGCAACTGTCTTTTTCAAAAGCAGTGGGGACCTAGGCTGTGAACATTTTACCCATCTGTCTGCTTTTTAAGGAGTGCATCTTGCTGGGCCTTGGTGGTGCATGCCTTTAATCCCAGCACTCGGTGGGCAGAGGCAGGCGGATCTCTGTGAGTTCGAGGCCAGCCTGGTCTACAGAGAGAGTTCCAGGACAGGCTCCACAAAACAATACAGAGAAACACTGTCTCGAAAAAACCAAAAAAGAAGAAGAAGAGGAGGAGGAGGAGGAGGAGGAGGAGGAGGAGGGAAAGAAAGAAAGAAAGAAAGAAAGAAAGAAAGAAAGAGAGAAAGGAGAGTGCCTTTGGTTGAAGAACATGGCAAGCCAGCAACAATCAGTTAAACCTCCAGCATTCATGAGCATCTCTCATCAGCCTTGGCATAAGTGCTGTAGAGGCCTTTCTGTTAGGTTCCTCATTAGGTATTTACTGAGTTTTCTGTATAAGGAGAACCCTCATTCGGCTTTGCTACACAATTCCCATATTGTTGCAAAACACAGGAGTGGGCCTCTTATCTTACATGTCACTGGCTTCTCCCTGTTAAACAAACATGCTGCCTTCAAAACCTACCACTTTAAAACAAAAAAAGAAAAAGAAAAAAGAAAAAAGAAAGAAAGAAAGAAAGGATTATAGGACTCATATGGAAGATACAAGAGATAGGCCTATTTCTTTTAAGATTCATCTAAGGGATGAAATACATTCCATTCGGAATTCCAGGGCTTGAAGACTGTCCTGACATATAATGAGGCAACCTCCTATCTCACCTCATTAAAAGATAAAAAGGGCCTCACACATGTCTTTAAATGAGGCTGAAAGCAACTTCATAGTCCTTACCTGCAGCTCAGACTTGGGCCACTCAATCAAAACTGTGGTCTCCTGCTAGACTTACCATGTCTGAGTCTCTAGGTTCAGGGAACAGGATTTGCATTGGTTTTGCTTAAGGCAGGAGTCTGTTGTCCAGACTGGTCCCCAGTTCCTGGGATCAAGCAATCTTCCCTCCATTATCTCCCCAGGGCCGTGCTACGCCACACACCACCACAACTGTTTGGAACTTGGATTCTTTTCTTTTCTTTCTTTAAATTTATTTATACATTTTATGTGTACAAGTGTTGCCCATATGTGTGTGCACGTATGCACCACGTGTGTGCTTGGCACCCACAAGGGACAGAAGAGGACATCAGACCCTTGGGAACTTAGGATCTGGAGCTCGGGATTTTGTGAGTCGCCCTGTACTTGGAATCAAACCCAAGTCCTCTGAAAGAGCATCTCCCTAGCCCCAGAACTTGCATCCTTAACATGCTCCCTAAATTCTGAGACTATTTTGTGGGATCCTCATGCTGTTAAATTCTCAGGTTAACTCATCCTCTCAGCTGTGGCTGGACCACTCATCGCTCCTTCCCTTCTCCTATTCCTCAGTGTGTTTCCTCTGAGTGCTTTCATCTGGACTCTCTTCTTCAGGATCTAAAAATGTTGCTGAGGGTGGTGTTTCTTCCCGCTGTCTCCATCCTTCCTCCATCATGCCTCAGGATGTTGCTTCTGGTTATAAACTAACAATCCCAGCCTCCAACTATCTCCTGGGATCAGGTCAAAACAACCAAACACCTGGCCAACATATCCACAGATGAATATAAAAATCATCATCACCACCACCACCACCACCACCATCATCATCTCAAGAGCTAGAGACCTGGCTTAGTGGTTAAGAGTGCTTGCTGCTCTTGCAGAGGATACTAATTCAGTTCCCAACACCCACACCAGATGGCTCGCAACCACCTGTAGCTCCAACTCTACCTTCCTAACACCATTTCTGGACTCCCTAGGCACCTACACACACTCCCACACCCACACCCACCCACACACCCACCCACACACCCACACCCTTAAAATTCTGTCTTACTCTATGTGGTAGTTTGAATAAGAATGACACCCCCCCCCCATAGGGAGTGTCACTATTAGGAGGTATTGCCTTGTTGGAGGAAATGTGTCTCACTCTCTTCCTGCTGCCTGTGGAATGAGACATAAGAACTCTCAGCTCCTTCTCCAGCACCATGTCTACCTGCACGTAGTCATGCTTCCCACCATGATGGCAATGAACTAAACCTCAAAACGGTAAGCCAGCCCCCAATTAAATGTTTTCCTTTATAAGAGTTGCTGTGGTCATGGTGTCTCTTCACATCAATAGAAACCCTAAGACACTCTATATTTGGTACCCTGTCACAGGTCTTCCCATCACACTTAAAAATCAAGCCCTCTCAGAGGACCGACCAGCTCTGGTCCCTATCTGACTCCATGCAGTCACTGCCCACCACTCTCCCTCACTCACAGAGCTCTGGCAGTCTCAGGAGTAGAAGGTCTTTCCACTTCCTGCTCCATTTTCTTGGGATACTCCTTCTACGACTATTCACCATCAGATGCCATCAGATTTCTCTACAGAGGACTTCCTTCCCAACCAACATCCCCCAAAGAAGACTCTTGCTTCATTTTCTCTGTGGCTTTTATCATTACCTCACCATCACCTGCTATCAATTCTCCCATTGTTTATTGTCTGTCTCCTACATTTGAACATAAACTCCAGGAAGGTAGGGAGTTTGTTTTGAAACACACATACCAGATCAAAGTCGGTTCAGAGGAAATCTTGTTTGATCGTTAACCGAAACAAACCTAATTATAAATTTTTTTTAGGCTGAACTTTACAAACAGCAAGCTAAATTTCCTGCTATCAAAACATCAACGGGAAAAATGCATATGATGAGATGTGAACCCATCTAGCTTTCTTTTCATATAGATCATACAATAAACAAGAAATCATATATAGTCTCACATTAAGGCAGTGTTTTTTTAGCATAAAATGATTTTAGTGTAGTTTCAAAGCCTATAATTCAAATAATTGACATATTAGCGTGTATTCCCCTTTCTCTGGCGAGGGAAAGATGGAAATCGAATGTGCATGAATTACCTTTGCCTTCAGGAACTGAGACGTCAAATCTCTTTGCTGTTCCACGTCACTGCGGACGTGATTACAGAAAGCCACAGAATACTGGCGGCTGTAGTAGGGACTGAAGTTTTTGATAGAAGCCTCTGTTTTTCCTGGAAAAAAAAAAATCAGAATTTTGAAATGTAGCATGTCTTACAGAATAGACATCAAACTACTTTGAATACACCCCCACCCCCCATCTCTCAAACACCATTGGCCAGGTTTGTTACCAGCCTGTATTCCCTGGGAATGCTGGGAATGCTGCTGCCTGCTGCATCTGCTTCCAACCCTCTCTCACCTTCTAGCATCACTCTGAAGAGCTCAGAGTCCCCAGGGACCATTCAGTAGTAAGAGGGGTCTTATTCAGTGTACATTTTACTCACTGCTATGACCATAGGAGTAATCTCATTCCCTATCCACTCTAGCATGGGATTTATTCTCCTACACGACAGCAATCCCAGAGCCCACCCTTCCAAACTCTGTATTCACATCTCTCATTTTTGGTCAGCACCTAAAAGCTGAGCCTCCAATCCTTTGCCTCCACAGTCCTGGAGAAAAATACAATACTGAGGTGGGAAGATGGCTCAGTTGGTAAAGTGCTGCCTATGCAAGCACAAAGACCTGAGTCGAGATCCCAACATCCATGTTAAAAAAATATATATATCCTGGCACTGGAAAGATGGACACAGAGAGAGACAGGGAATCACTGGCCAGAAGATGAGCTAAATTAGTGAGATTCAGGTCCAATGAGAAACCCTGTCTCAAAAAAAGGTGGAGAGTGACTGAGGAAGTCACTTGACATCCACTTCTGGCCTCCACACACATACTGTATGAGCCCCCCCCCGCACCCGCACGCGCGCGCGCACGCGCGCGCACGCACACACACACACACACACACACACACAGACTCTTGTGATATAAAGTACCATATGATGGTCATGAGGTAAAGGGAAGAACTGACTTAAAAGTCTAGAGGCCTGGACTGTGGACCCCACTCTAACTGTGAGATAGAAATCACCATCTAACTTCAGGCAACTCCTTCAGCTCTCTAGACTGATTGTCCCTGGTATTGAAGGAGGTAGACTTGAGTCCACATTGTTCTTTGAGTTAGGTGACACTAAAGCATAATCCTGAAGGTACAACTACATCACCACACTGACCAGCAAGGAAACTTTGGTCTCTTGATACCAAGGGTGAATTTTGCTGTCAATCATGTAGGACCTGGAGCTGCCTTTCCATTCCTTGATTAGCATGGGGAAGTACAGGAGAAGAAAGAGTGAAAGAGTATTCTTTATTTTTATTTACTTATTTTGGCTTTTCAAGACAGGGTTTCTCTGTTTAGCTTCCTGGCACTCATTCTGTAGACCAGGCTGGACTCGAACTCACAGAGATCTGCCTGCCTCTGCCTCCTGAGTGCTGGTATTAAAGGAGTCGTGAGCCACAACCGCCGGATGACAGAGTAATCTGAATCAGATTAGAAAGCCTCTTAGCATTTCAGATACTTGTTCCCAAATATCAGTTTCAGCTTCACCATCTCTTCAGATAAGCAATTACAATATGGGATAGGTAGGATAGGAGCTGGAGGGAAAATAAAGCAGAAATATTTTCCAATATTTTAAAATGCTTCATGAGAGGCTTGGCTTCACTTTTTCAAATCTGATATTTTAGTTGACAGAGAAATATTAAAATATAACTTGCTGGCAAGATTTACACAGAGCTATTGTACATGTAAAACTTCAGGAATAAATGAGGAATCTGAGCCAGGTATATGGAGATGATCAGTAGGAGAACCTTGAATCCCAAACCTCCTGTTTGGTGCCTATGAAATCACAGCTAAACACCCATGTGTGCAAACACCCTCTACAGACAGACACGCCTACTTTTGCTTGGGCATTTTTCATTCTTATAATATGTATGAGAAAAGGGAGTTCTTTTGTATTCCCTTAATAAAATGACATTTAGGGGTTATATTTATGGGCTTTAGTAATTATTACTTGTAAGGTCCTTTTAGACCCACTAATAATAGATTCTGTGGAAATGCAAATAAACCCCCTGTAATTTCAATCTGGCATGCTTTTGCTTGCTCCCTGAGTTTATGGTATTACAATTAATCAGTATTTGCATAATACTTTAATATACTCAGGCTTTATATGCATCTAATTGGTTATTATTTTATTAGCTTTTATTACAACGCATAAGTAGTAGTCCCATATCCTTGTCTATAATTTTCTTACATAGGAGTGGGACCTCTTTGAGAATTCCCACAATGAGAGTGAGTCTCACTTTATAGAAACATGTAAGTGATGAGTAAAATTTGCCCTTTAATTCCAGGCAAGCACTGTTTGGTTTGTCTGAAGAGTGCCATGCTAATTGTTGATGCTAATGTTTGCTCCCTTACAAGCACTAGAATGAAATGACAGGAGGTGGCTGTCCTTTTATGATTTCTGTGAAGCTTATTAAAGCCAATTTTCTACTACTTCACCCAGCCTCCTGCAGGTATCCCCTGATCCTACCAAGATGCTTTAATGCCGCCCCCAACATAAAAGAAAAATGTTTCTAGGATTTGAATATCTGCACATGAATTGTCAACAAACCATCACCAAAGTCACACTTACAAAGAAAAGATTACAGATTTTTTGCATTCTCTTAATGACTGGTTCAAATGTAAGTAAGACGGCTAATAGCATCACAAATCCAAGAAGAAATGAAACCAAAGCTGGTCTCCAAAGACATCTAGACATTAGATTAATTTGTCTGGACCTACAAAGGAGCACCCAGTGTAAAGACTTGGAGGACAGATACAAAGTCTGGGGTTGGGACAAAATACCAGTATGGTAGGAAGACAGAGACGGGCTCAAGTATTTCTGCCACTTGCTGGTTATGTGACCTCATAGGAGTTACCTTTTCTTCCTTCTCACATGAAAAATGGTGATGGCTTCACAGAATTAATAAAACAATCACACAAAAATAACTCAGTAAAGTACTTGGTGCCATTGCCGGCACACAGTTAAATGAAAGTGACTAAAATGCTGGGGATGATGGTAGTGATGAAGGCCCAAGTCAAGTACCAGGAGAAATTCTGTCTCCTGTACTCTTGAGTGGACACATCTTGGCTTGCAGAATTGAGAACAGCTGCTGCATCCACTGCTAGCCAGAGACAATTAATTACCCACACTTCCATAGACGTTTTGGCATAAGATGCCCTCTGTGTATCCCTGAATTAAAAATCAAATACACAATACCAAGCATAGTGGTACATGCCTGTAATTGCAGCACTTAGCCATTCAATGCCAATGTGGGCTATAAAGTGAGGCCCCTGTCTCAAAAGAAAAACTGAAAAAAAAAAAAAAACCACTCAACTCCATAAAATATTAGCATGAATCAAGTCCAGGCAAAAAGCAGAGTTAGTATCTGTGTTACACTGAACCCCAATCCTCCCACCTGTAAAATAATGAGGAACCCCATCACAGGATTTCATGGGGAGTAAATGAAATATTAAACACTTTTTTTAAAAAAAGTATCTAGGGGCTGGAGAGATGGCTCAATGGTTAAGAGCACTAGCTGCTCTTCCAGAGGACCCTGGTTCAATTCACAGCACCCGCATGGCTGCTCAAAGGAGATCTGACGCCATCACACAAATGCACATACAATAAACTTAAATAATTTTTAAAAAGGTATCTAGAACAGCACCAGACCATTTGTTAACTGATACATTTAAGTGTTATTTAGTATTTCTTTGTGAAAACATTCAAATAAGTGAGTTAGTCCATAAGCCCCCCCTAAAATAAACACTACAGAAAACAGCTCTCTTTCCAGTTTTCAAGATTCCAGAATATTGGACTTCCCTCATCTCCCTGTCCCCAGTTCAGTGTGACGTCTTCCTTTATGATAGTATCATAAGCCACTTTGCCTGGCCTTCCAGCACAAGGAGGCCAAAGTGTCGAAGAAAGTCGGGAGCAAGCAGAAGGTCCTCTTCTCGGTTTGAATTATCAACACTTTTGACACAGACAATTCTGCTAATCCTACTCGGTGGCTCGGTCTGTTCCGGGCATCATACCGCAACAATTTACTCCTGTGGTGCAGTCCTCACTGAAACCAAAAAAGGCCTGTTCCACAGTTCTCACCACAAAGCTTAGCTTTGCTTTGGCTTTCTACCGAAAAGGCATTTGTGGGCCCTTCCAACACCATTTTCAAACACAGAGACTCAAAATCTCAGTGTCCATTCAGTTCCCTTCTCTCTGACACCTTGGTTCAATCATATCCCGCCCCCTCTTGGGGTGGGGGTTTTCGAGGCAGGGTTTCTCTGTGGCTTTGGAGTCTGTCCTGGAACTAGCTCTTGTAGACCAGGGTGGTCTCCAACTCATAGATATCCACCTGCCTCTGCCTCCCAAGTGCTGAGATTAAAGGTGTGCACCACCACCACCAGGCGAGATCCTGTCTCTTTTATTTCTATACTATCTCAAAGTTTTATTTCTTTTTTTTAAAGATTTTATTTATTTATTTATTATGTATATAACATTCTGCTTCCGTGTATATATGCACATTAGAAGAGGGCACCAGATCTCATAACGGATGGTTGTGAGCCACCATGTGGTTGCTGAGAATTGAACTCAGGTCCTCTGGAAGAGCAGTCAGTGCTCTTAACCTTTGACCCATCTCTCCAGCCCCCTTATTTCTATTTTTTAATTTATGTAACTTTGTGTGAGTATATGCCATGTGTGTGCAGATGTTCCCAGAAACCAGTAGAGGGCGTCAGATCCCCTGGAGCTGCAGTTCAGAGAGTTACCGGCTTCATGGTATGGGTGCTGGGAACTGAACTCAGTTCAGGGCAGCAGAGAACTCTTAACTGCTAAGCCATCTCTCTATCCCCTTGACGCTGTCTCTTGAATCTATCCCCCTTTCCCCATCGTCTACCGAGCTTTATTAACTCTCAATATCATAAGATTCTCTTAATTTGCTCTGTGCCAGCACGGCAAGGTTGAATACTTAGCTCTCTGCTCTAAAACATGAATAAAAATGTGCAGAACAGAGGAGGGGATACTGAGACCAAGACACAGATCCATAAAGATGGTAGAAACACTTCATTTATGAAGTAGCAGCGGATTCTAAGAAA